GTACATTTACTATACTTTAAATTCTCTTAAGAGAAAATAAATTACTCAATTTTTAAAGGGAAAAAAACAACATAATGATTGAAATGGAAACCAGATTAAGATGGTCTCCCGCGTGGCACAGTGGTTAGAGCGTCTGCTCTAGAGTCGCGAAGTAAGGAACTGATCCTTACATCGTGGGTTCGAATCCACTGCCGGATGTGGAGAACGGTCCTTTAGATGAGACCGTATAAACCGACCCACTGCTCAATGGCCCTGAGTGCCGAGTATAGGTATAAATTTGCAGCCCTCCACCGGCAATTGGTGGCGTCTCCTTATGAGTGAAAAATTCTCGAGAGGGATGTTAAACAATAAAGGAACAAACAAACAAACAGATTAAAATGTTTCAAAATGAGGACAATTGAATTAGTGATTTAAGATATTTTGTCGATTTAGAAAAAAATCAATGCCAAAAAATTAATGCAACCGATAGAGGACATCAAAGTATTTGACTTTTTAATATGACCTTGACCTTTATTGTACATAAGAAATACATCTTCCTTGTAAATATGTTCAAATGTCAGGTCTGTATTTTAAATAGATGAAGATATAATTTGCATTTAATAACAGATGGACATATTGTATGTGGATGGCAAGAACACCACCTAATTGAAGGCTTCTAATTGACCAATATATAAGGTGTCTCTAATTCTTATGCCTCCGTAATCAAATATTCGGGGGAATGTAGTTTTTGTCCTGTTCATCCGTCTGTCTGTCTGTTTGTCTGTAAAAAAAACTTTAACCTTGCCTATATTTTTTGGTTGGTTGGAGCTATGGCTTTCATATTTCACATATGTATTCCTTGTGACAAGACCTTCCTTTGGGTACCAACATATATGACCTCTTGACCTTGAAGTTTGACCCACTTTTGCAAAAATTTACCCATTTTTAACCTTGGCCATAATTTTTTAACAGTTGGAGCTAGCTATAGGGGTTTCATATTTCACAGGTGTATTCATCTTGACAAGAACTTTCAATGGGTTTAAACATTTTTGACCTTTTGACCTTCAATGTAGAGTTCGACCTACTTTTGAAAAACATTAACCTTTGCCATAACATTGGTGCTAAGGCTCTTATATTTTGCTTGTGTATTTCTTATGACAAAGCCATCCCCTGTGTACCATTTAATTTTGACTTTTTGACCTTGACCTTGGAGTCTGACCCACTTTTAGAAAATGTAATCCCTGACCATAACTTTTGAATGGTTGGTGCTTGGGCTTTCATATTTATCAGATATATCCATTGACACAAGTCCTTTCTTTTGGTAACAACATTTTGATCTCTTGACCTTGAAGTTTGACTTACATCTGAGAAACTTTAACCTTTGCTATAAGCTGCCATACAGGGGCATCAGTGTTTCACAAACACCATCTTGTTTTTTTTTAAAGAAAATATGGTGAAAACATGTAACAGTTTATTATATTTCTCATACAGATCACTGGTTATTGTCAGAGTGATATTTTTTTTTTCTAACGTAAAAAATGAGTTAAAAATTTCATTCTTTCAAATTATGGTGAAACATATCACGGTTTATTATATTTCTCACACAGATCATCGATTATTGTCATTAGAGTAATATTATTCTTTTTTTCTAATGTAAAAATGATTTTATAATGTCATGGGTGCTTCGTACTCCCTGAAGCATTAAAGGACCAATTTCGATGCTAACAAAGGGTTTCCATCTTTGTATCATCTCAAAGTTTAAAGTTATGTTTATTTGCACAATGTATTCCTCTAGTGAATTTTTGAGATGAGTACATCGAATTCCAACTATAATTTGTGTGCCATTACTCTTCTTCAAGACAATGGTTATATAAAAAAAAATGCTTTAACTCTTTATCAGATACATCTTAGTTGTTACATGTATGTGTTCAAAATTGTTGTCATGGGATATGTTAATACATAAATACTTTCTTTAGACCAAAATTACATTATCCATTTGCATACAAGACAGTAAGTTTTTGATTTTAACACACAGTCATTGTCACTTTTCTGAATTGCTGTAAACATTAATAATTGGACTCTGAACATGTTCATAAATGTTTTTTTTTTCTTCAAAATTTAGAGTACGTTGCCATGGTAGCCATGTAATATAGCAACACATCTTTGCCTCATATGAATTAAAGGTAACAATTTCTTGACAACACATAATGCCAATGAAAAGAAATTCTGTGTATTCTCCTGCTCATATAAATACAGACTGAGAATGAATCTTTCAAACACTCAATGAAATCAAGTGGTTGTTATCAAAATCGTTTCCATGGGAAGTTTATATAACAAAAATACTTTTATGAGGTCCATAATACATTTTTAATTTTGCTAAACTGCAATTTTAGGACTAAATTTGAAACATTTCTTACCACTGTACATGTACATGAATATCTGCCAAAATTAAGCTTTGTGGCCTTGTTGCTATGGGGAATTTGCTGTTGCCATGGAGATAAGTAACTGTACCATAGTCTTTAATTTACTAATAAGTCTGATTTATGTTTTATCACTTTAAAATTTATTTCTAGTACTCTAAGATAACAATTTATACAATTTTTCTGCATAAGACTGCACAATTATTCACTTTTTATATATCAAAACATCCATTATTGTTGCTAGGCAACGGACACTAATTTTCAAAAAACCCACGTGTTTGAATTCGGATGTCATCAGAGACATTCCTCTACTTTTATGTGAAATACATGCAAAAGTTGACATTTTTATATGCAAATTTTAATTTGACCTTGAATGTTGCCAAAATCAAGAAAAATGCTGAATCAGCAAAAAATGCAAAACATGTATATCTTCCATTATCTGTTACAGAACTAACTACACATGATGAATAAGTCTAATAAATATAATTTGTGAAAAAAATATCCAACAAACCTCGAGGTTGAATTGCGGGGGGGAGGGGGGGGGGAGTCCTGTCCACAAGTACCTGTGAACAAATTATTATTTCTTTTTTTTCAAATTCCATTGCATATTTGCAAGATTTTAATATGTTTTATCTGTGTAAATTCAATTGGATTACCGGGGTATTATCCTTCGAGACTTTAAATAATCTCTCTCTCTCCCTCTCTTGAGAGAGTCCTTGAATAATCTCTATAAAAGTAACTTAAGGGTTACAAATAGTGGAAATCTTTTTTTTTTTTCATTTTAATGAATACATACACATATTTTCCCGTATTTTTTTTTTCCAAAAAAAAAAAAAAATTGCTACATACACTGTAATTATCATAGTTTTAATTTAGAAATAATTTAGAATAATTTAGAAAACCCAACTTTAAACGCGGTTCTATCTAATGTAAACCTGCTTATTTTTTCCGTGTACTTTTACATACTAAATTGTTTAAATTTGTATTAGTTTAGTATCACAGAGGTCATAAGATCTGATTTTAAAATTTTGTTCAACTGTAAAAATATTAATATTAAAAATTGATCAGGATAAGTCTCGCAAACAATCGGGATATGAATTTTTTAACTGATCAATTTGTGCACGAGCTGTACAAGTGTTTTCAAATTACAATAGCTGAGACAAACTGTTACATGTATTTGCTCTGTACAGTGTATGTATACACATCTTCATAATGCCGGTATGTTCTAATCCATATATTTTTTTAAAGTATTTTTTTATTTGTTATAGCAGAATGATGTCGTCATTAAATCGGGTAGTTCATTTCTATATATCGTTTTAATATTAGTCCTCGGGTTTCACATTGCAGAAAATGCACTTTCAAAGACGCCGACATTTTTCATTAAACCACGTTTATCATGAACTTCAATACCATTTTAATTTGATAAAGGGGGGGGGGGGGGGGGGCTTGTGAGCTGGGTATTTTTCCATATCTTTGTTTTACAAAATTTTATTTGCCTAGAAAATTTTTACTGAAAGAAGCTTCAGACTTTTGTTAATAAATTACGCTATTCTTAATTGTAAATTATACAATTTCACTTCGAATGAAAAACCACATTTTTATATTGCACATCAATAAAATCATGTATCTTAATCCTCTTGTGCGTATCATATATGTATTAAACAGGAATGAGAGGTTTTTGTTTCTTAGTATTAGTTTTAAATAAGAAATAAAGTTTGAGAGGGTTTTCTTGATTTCTATGGGGTATTCATCAGGATCATCCAATGATGAAATGCTCTCGTTTTCAGTTGCTACACTTAATTAACGACTAGTTCAAATAGAGCCGACTGCACTATAGAATCAGATAGTTCATCTGAAAACATAAATCATGTTTATATCTATAAAGAATGGCTAAAATTATCTCAATAAAATACAGTAAAATTACACTAGGTCTAATGCGTTCTTTATATATCAACGGGTCTTTGTGACGTCCTATAACCACAAAATCAAGAACGATAAGCGGGTAACAAATTTATCAAGTGCTCAAGAGTACAGCTTCGTTTCTCAGTTAAACAAAACAAATTTTTTTTGTACTAAACAAAATTTGACATTCTTTCATACCAATCTTTATGTTTAAAAAGTAAAATCCCTAGCGTTAAAAACTGTTTCGTATGACCTTGAAAGAAAAGTAATACTTTTAAAAATTTTATCGATTTTTTTTATTCTTTTTATAATTAAAGCTTTAGAAATAGTGCACGACTTTTATATAGGTTTTAAATAATGAATATATTTTATTTTTCCCTTAATTTTGACTTGTTATATCGTATAGTCAAGTTCATACTTGTATGTTTAAATGAAAAGAGAGAGAGAGAGAGAGAATTTTCAGAAGTATTATTCATGGCATGCAATATAATTGCTACATTTGTAAGTTACTTCAAACAAAACAGTCCGGTTGTAAAATGTTTACCAGTAGAATAAGAATCTACATGCATATTTAGGATGATATTGATCGATGCTCTTAAGAACTTTAAATTGATACCAAAGCTGATTTTGTTAATATACTAGTACGCAATTTTGGACACCTTGGGATGATGTACATTATCCTGTATAATTTTATTTTAGGACACTGTGCAGAATACAATGAAGGAGGGGGTGTTATACAGGAAAATTATCAAACAGATTGTACAAAATTTCCAAAACCTTGTCCAATAGAAAGTTATTCATCAGTTGATACATATAAATGTAAGTACGCTTTTGTGAATTTCGTAAAATACATACAGATCTATGGTACCAAAGAATGATATGCAGATTAATTTTAAGGTCACCCGAGTCACTCGGGTGACTTATTGCTATCCGTTTTCTTCCATCGGCGTGCGTCGTGTGTTGAGTGTTAACATTTGAACATTTTTATCTTCTTCTCTGAAACAACCGTTCACGGTAGCTCAGTCGGTAGAGCGCTCGCTCCGTGATCGGGAGGTCGTGAGTTCGAATCTCGGCCGCGACAGACCTAAGTCGATAAAAAATAGGTAGCAACTGTTCCTTCGCCATGCGCTCGGCACTTTGAAGTGAAAGTTGCGGGTCCTTCGGATGAGACCTTAAAAACCGAGGCCCCGTGTCACGGCAGGCGTTGGCACGATAAAGATCCCTCACTGCTCAATGGCCCTGAGTGCCGAGTAAAGGTCAAAATTTGAAGCCCTTCACCGGTATATGGTGACGTCTCTATATGAGTGAAAAATTCTCGAATGGGACGTAAAACAATATACAATCAATCAATCTTCTCTGAAACTACTCAACTAATTTCAACCAAATTTGGCATATAGCATCTATAGTTGAAGGGGAACAAAAATTGTGAGTTTCATGTCATGTGCAAGGGTGCTTCTTCAAGAATTTTGAATTTCAAAGCCCCTGGTGTTAGGCTGGACTCTAATGATTATATAGTGAAAATGCATTAATTTTTTGAAAATCCTCTCCTCTGCTCCTGGCTATTAGACCAATGAACCATGTCCATAGTTATGATTTGGAAGTGTGCCTCCAGCAAATTTGTGAATTTCACGGCTCCTGGGTCTGGGGTTCTGGTGTTAAGGTGAAGCTCTATTGTGTCAATAATTGATTTTGTAGTGAAAATGTATGAATGCCTTTCTACTCTGCTCCTGAGTATAAATGGTGCCTTTTTTCAAAATTGTTAATTTCATGGCCTCTGGTTTAAAACACGAACCAAATTCAATTGTGGGAAAGTTTGCAGGTGACCTGTAAGGTCCGTGGGGCTCTTGTTTCTTTAGAATATATTTTTTTTCACTGTAATAAAAAATTATACACTTATTATCACTACCATATACATAAACATGTATAGTGGAGATCCTATCATTTGCCTCAATCGTGAATGCATGGACTCTGAGAGGTCCAAGCAGAGAGTATAGTAATATAACTGCAATAATGCAGCTCTCTCCGATATTTTTATCTGGTGTTTACAGTTGAGGGCTACAATTCAAAAGGATCTTGGTGATGGTGAATATATATTTTTAAATATGGATGGCTGCAGGCAAAATAAATACCTTTCGCATTCTACTTCTTTCAAATAGAATTGATTTTTTATATAACACAAATAACCTATCCAGCCCTTTACCAGGTCAAGGAATCTACCTTATATGGATATTGTTTTTACTGCACACAGCGGTCCATGCTGCAAAAAATGGTCCAATCCAATGAGTGAACAGAATAAGGTCAAGTAAATATTGTTTACTTAATAAAATAGTCACTTACTGATAATTTGAGCCAAAATTTGTGCAGGAGTGAATCACTCCCGCACTTGTACCGTTACGGAGATCCTATCAAGGAGTTGCCCCCCCCCCCCTTTTAAAAAGGGCATTATTATTGCATAAAGGTGAGGTTAAACAGAAAGCTATGGGGGGAATTAAAGTATGTTTGCGCATACTCCAGATTGCATGAGAAATAGCCATCGGTGCAACTCGCCAGGGCAATTAAGTCATCCTGAACTCCTAGAACATCCTGCTACAATGTATTTAAAGTGATCTTGACAAATGTAGCGTAAATTATGTTTTATAATTTTCCCTTAATCAGAATGATCCATGTAACAAATAATTCTGAGTACCGTTTGTACGAGATCTCTTGGAAATGGAATAGAAAATAACACATGATTTCCACGGTGCGGGAAATTAAAATTAATATTATTTGTGTAGTTTTGTTTAAATACGAGCGCGCGGTTCAGATGAACAAAAAAATTATTGTTGTGGCCTTATGTTGTATTATACAAGTAAAGCTATTGAACCACACAATTTCATTACACTCAAGATGTATTTCTGATCATATTTTTATTAGAAATACATGTGCAAATGTATGTGTGAAATACACATTTCCGTCCCTTTTAGGACTTTTTTATTGTTTCTCCTTTACTTTAAACCGTATTAATTGCTATTTATTCCATGAACAATGTAAGTACAAGTTTTCCTTTCCTGCCACGTGCATTTAATGAAGGACATTTTTTTGATTGTTGGAAGATGCTTTAACCTATAACAAATGATATACTCAATACTCAATTTAGACTTAATACTCTTTCACAGATTGTACATTTCCGTGTTTTAACTAAAAAAAGAAGATTAATGTGTGTACTTAAACAATACCTTTTATATATGTCAATTATAAATATCGCTGCTTAGTCACTTCAGCAAGTAGATGAATAATTACAGTGAAGTGTTTAGAGAGTGATTTTGTTTGTTTGGAAATGACAATAAAAACTGATAAAGGTATAAATATGTCACATGTATACATCCTTATGTAGACTTGTGAATCCATTATAATACATAATGAAAGGGGGTTGGGCATGGTTGAAATGAGGGTGAAAAATGATCTGGGGGAAAAGTAAGTTTTGTTTAACTGATATTACAGTGAAGTATTACACTGAAAATGTCATAATATAATTCAGTACATGTATTACAGACGCAGATTGTTTCAATATTACCCCAAAGGAAATTCCACATACAACGGATATAAGTAGGGGAGAAGAACCTGTTCCCAAAAATATTACAGAATTTCCAACAAACAATGACTCCAACTCAAATTTTGAGTTACAAAGGTACATTTCGATCTTTTAGCATTGATTTATGATATAAGGAATGGCATGAGTGTTTCCGTTATCTTTGCATCTGTGGACTTTTGTTTTACTTGTTCAACCTTATTTAGATTCAAATTCAATACTTGAAATTAAAATCTGCAATTCTTGACAAATATTTCACTCAAAATTAATGAATTATTTAAATGAATATTTTTAAGTAATGTAGTTCGAATGCTGTTCAAATCAAGCCCAATTTTGGATGGAACCGAAGCATTGCTTCAAATTAAAGTTTAACATTACAATATAATATGTATTTAGAAACACATGTAAACCATATTGAATAAATAATCCTCCTCAGAACAAATAACATAAATAAGCACTATGAAATATTATTAGGCCAAACAAAAAAATATGTGTGGTTCCGGTTACATCTCCAAACAAGATGTGTTTGTGAAACACTGATGCCCCCGTATGGCAGCTTATGGCGAAGGTTAAAGTTTCTTCAAATGCAAGTCAAAATCCAGGCCAAAAGATAAGAAATGTTGATACCCAAAGAAAGGTCTTGTCTCGAGGAATACACCTATGAAATTTGAAAGACCTAGATACAACTGTTCAGAAGTTATGGCGAAGGTTAAAGTTTTTTGAATAAAAGTCAAACGTCAAGGTCAAGGTCAAAGTGGTTGGTATCCAAAGGAAGAACTTGTCACAAGGATTACATATGTGAAGTATGAAAGCCCTAGCACCAACCGTTCAAAAGTTATGGCCAAGGTTAAAGTTTTTCAAAAGTAGGTCAAACTCCTAGGTCAAGGTCAAAGGGTCAAAGTGGTTGGTATCCAAAGGAAGGTTTTGTCACAAGGATTACATATGTGAAGTATGAAAGCCCTAGCATCAACCATTCAAAAGTTATGGCCAAGGTTAAAGTTTTTCAAAAGTAGGTCAAACTCCTAGGTCAAGGTCAAAGGGTCAAAGTGGTTGGTATCCAAAGGAAGGTCTTGTCGCAAGGATTACATATGTGAAGTATGAAAGCCCTAGCACCAACCATTCAAAAGTTATGGCCAAGGTTAAAGTTTTTCAAAAGTAGGTCAAACTCCTAGGTCAAGGTCAAAGGGTCAAAGTGGTTGATATCCAGAGGAAGGTCTTGTCACAAGGAATACACATGTGAAGTTTGAAACCCTAAGCACCAACTGTTCAAAAGTTATGGCCAAGGTTAAAGTTTTTCAAAAGTAGGTCAAACTCCAAGGTCAAGGTCAAAAGGTCAGAGTTGTTGATATCCAAAGGAAGGCCTTGTCACAAAGAATACACATGTGAAGTTTGAAACCCTGAGCACCAACTGTTCAGAAGTTATGGCTAAGGTTAAAGTCTCATAAAATTTTGCAAAAGTAGGTCAAACTCCAAGGTCAAGGTCAAAAGGTCAAATATGATGGTACCCAAAGAAAGGTCTTGTCACAAGGAATACACATGTGAAATATGAAAGTCATAGCTCCAACCAATCAAAAGTTATGGGCAAGGTTAAAGTTGACAACAGACAGACAGACAAACAGACAAACGGACAAACAGACAAACAGACAGACAGGACAAAAACAATATACCCCCTGGATCTTTCGATCCGGGGGCATAAAAAATTAGGGTAGGTAGGTAGGGATTTTTTTTTTTTTTTTTTTTTTTTTTTTTTTTTTTTTTTTTTACAAAATGATTTTCTTAATTTTTTTAAAATAATACCTATCACTGCTTTGCAAGTGGCATTTAGATGTGGCGTGAGAATATACTAGTCAACATTGGTAGGGGACACCTACATGCTAGCTTGATTTGGATTTTTAACACCATCAAAAACTTGCACCATGTGTTGAAATGATGTTTTACAAGGAGGCCGCCATCGCTGAAACTAAAACTAATACTGGAGCCGATGATGGAAGTCGGGGAAAATTCTGGAAAAAATATGAAAATTGCTGGAAAAAAGTTTAGGGTCGGGGGTATAAAATAGGGACGGTCGGGTAACCAGAACCACACATATTTTTTTATTTGGCCTTATATATATTGTATATTAGTAATGAAAATGGCTTAGAAAGAAAAAATGATGTTAATACTGTAATTATGAATATAAACATTAGAATATGATCTGCAATGTCCAATTTGTAATTTATTGTATTTTCAACTTACCAGTATTTTTTTTGTCTCTGCATAAATGATAAATTTAAAAAAAAAAAATTAAAAAAAAAGTTTTAATCGCTTCATGAAAAATATGCCTAAGTGCAAATCTGTGTGATTTCCACATCAATAATTCACACTAAACATAAAAACATTCCTTATTTTTGCATTTTACATTTTAAATTCTTTATTGCATAATACACCCATATGGGTCAAGCAATACAATCCATAATTTAAAAAAACCCAAAGAACAATGAATGTATTTATACAATAGGCGCAATTTAAGTAATTTACACCTTATTTGTTACACTGATGTGGACCTTTTATTTCTTAATTCTAATGATTGTTTTATAAAAGTGCAAACAGCCGGTATAACTTCAATTGTTGGACTAAATATATATTCAAGTTTCTGTATATGGGTGATTTGAGATAGACCAAAAATATATTCAATGTTTGGGTTTCTTGCTGCCCTATATCGTCATATTTTTTTTAACGTCTCTGTAGCTTCATTGTGACGTCAACTTAGCGCAAGTTTCTTCGTGTATATTTCTACGCGTGAGTATGTATACACAAAAATGGTTTTCAAATCTATATCACAGTTGGCTTAGTAGAAAAACACAACAAATGTAAATATTTAAAGATAATTTTAGTATGATATTAACATACATATGCAAGCTGTTGTTCATTTCAAATACTAACAAAAAAGCAACTTTTATAACATGCTTAAATGTAATTAATGCACCTATAAATAGTTAACAGGAAAATCTTTCTCTTATCTTTGTGCCATGTTTTACTGTGTGTCATTTTAACTCTTTATACTTGAAGTAGCTTTTCTGCCAGAAGTATACAATTAGTCTATTATAATAATGTTTTTTTTTATCCATACGATGTTAAAAGTGTCTTGAACTCTGTCTGGAGCATGCTAAATATATGCCTTATTTTTTTTTTCTTTTTTCTGCTCTTTTGTGTTTGTGCACTAAATGCATATTTAAATACAAATATACCTTTTTTATAAGCTTGCCCTTCATTGTCTTTAATTTTCATACCAACTAAATATATAATCACTTGAAAATCTGTATTTGTGTTAAGATGGTATATACGGGTATATTTCATTGCTCCCTGAAACATGCAGAGTTGAATACACAGATACGGGACAGAGAGAACTTAGGGCGACTGCCGAAGAAAGCGACGTGAACGGAGTCTATTAAAAGAATGGAAGATCACCTTTTAAATGTATTACTGGCCATTTATCATGGTTACATATACATATAATAGCTGTTTAAAGTAGTATTTTGTGTTTTTGTTAGAGATGACCAAAAGTTTACACTGATGACATGGGCGTCGGAAAGAGGGGGGGGAGGGGGAGGGGTAGGCCCCTTTTTCTTTTCCACACATACACACACACCCTCACACACACACACACACACACACACTTTTTTTGCAAAGATAGACATAATATAGGCATTGAAAATTGGAGCTTAGTCACCAAACATTTTTTGTTGGTTTACCCCCCCCCCCCCAATACACACACACTTTCACCCCTCCCCCACTTTCAATTTGCTTCCGATGCCTATGGATGAGGATTAAGATCTTAAGATTTACATTATAAAAATATTACATTAAAAGTAAAAAAAAAAAGAAGATAGAAATAGCCACCCATTTCTACACCCACATGTTAGTATTACTCGTGTTTAAATGCAAAATTAATTATTCTTTTTTGTCTGTTATAGGGATTTAGCTATTACTTTTGGCGTGGTGTTACCCCTCTTGTCTCTGATATTGATTATGCTAACATATGTTTGGATTGATAGAAAGAAGAATACAAGTAAGTAGGTACATATGATTAAGTATCGAAATATTTTGCTTTAGAAATATCCTATTCAGGTACCTTTAAGACACTAGTGACTTGTACGACATCAGACGCTTTGTTTTACATGTGATTACACGTTTTTATATAATATTTCTTCTATCTTGATCTTGTTTTTTCCTTTCAACATAAGATTTATAACACTAAAAAGACAGCATTTCAATGGAATCTATTGAATGCAATAATCGCTTGTTTTATATTAACTTAATATTATTTATTTCGCTATTTTGCATACTTTTATGATGAAATGTTGGGGGGGGGGGGGGGTTATGGTTTTTATATACTTTGAAAAATTACTTCCCCAAGATCATCAAATATCACAAATTTCGATAGCTAAACGTTTACTTAGAATGTTGGTAAATTATTTAATCAAAGATTTGAAATATCACTTCAAATATTGTGGAATTGTGAAATATCGAGGGAAAGGTGAACTTTGCTGGTTGACTGCACCAAAATCTTGCTTTAATGTTGATTATCGCGCAGAAATTAACTTATATATAGAGTGAGGGAAGAAGCCAACCCGAATTTACCAAATATTTAAATAAATTATTATATCCTTTCCCCTGAGATACGCTTTCTTAATTTTTGAAGTTTTCAGCATAACTTAAGCTTAACAGATTTTTTTAATGTTGAATATTTGTATACGCTGAAGAGTGTTTCATATCAAGTTAAGTATGTATTTTTTCTTGCGAAGATGAAATTGACTAATGTGTGATTATTTTCTTGTAGAGAAGGCCTACCACTCTGTCAGGTAAAAAAAAATTAAAAAGTTAATTTTTTTTATATCAGTCAAGCTAGACCTTTACATGTATATCATTTTATTTTTATTTTTTATGCCCCGCCATGAATATGGCCGGGGCATATAGGTTTGTCATGTCCGTCTTCCGTCCTTCTGTCTGTCCTTCCGTCACACTTTGCGTTTAGCTCTGTTCAAAGCTCAGTTTCACAGAAACTATCCAAGATATTTTTATCAAACTTCATATGCTGAGAGCTATGCAACTGCATCAACATTTTTTGACCTTGACCTTTCCTTTGACCTTGACCTCACTTTTCTTAAATTAGTGTTTAGCCCAGTTTTAAAGATACCATTCAAGATAGTGTAATCAAACTTCATATGTTGATACATACTGATGTAAGCCATTAAACTGCATCAACATATTATTACGTTGACCTTTCTTTTGACCTTGACCTCACTTTTCTTAAATTAGTGTTTAGCTCAGTTTTAATGAAACAATTCAAGATATTTTTAATTAACTTCATATGCTGATACATACTGATGAGAGCTATTCAACTGCTTTAATATATTTTACCTTGACCTTTCCTTTGACCTTGACCTCACTTTTCTTAAATTACTGTTTAGCTCAGTTTAAAGATACCATTCAAGATAATTTTATCAAACTTCATTTGCTGATAGGTATTGATGAGAGCTATTCAACTGCATCAACATTTTTGACCTTGACCTTTCCTTTGACCTTGACCCCACTTTTCTTAAATAAGTGTTTAGCTCAGTTTTAAAGATACCATTCAAGATAGTATAATCAAACTTCAAATGTTGATACATACTGATGTAAGCTATTCAACAGCATCAACATTTTATGACCTCGACCTTTCTTTTGACCTTAACTCACTTTTTTTTAAATTAGTGTTTAGCTCAGTTTTAATGAAACAATTCAAGATATTTTTAATAAACTTCATGCTGATACATACTGATGAGAGCTATTCAACTGCATCAATATTTTTTACCTTGACCTTTCCTTTGACCTTAGACCTCACTTTTCTTAAATTAGTGTTTAGCCCAGTTTTAAAGATAGCATTTAAAATAGTGTTATCAAACTTTATATGCTGATACATACTGATGAGAGCTATTCAACTGCATCAACATTTTTTGACCTTGACCTTTCCTTTGACCTTGACCTCACTTTTTTTAAATTATTGTTTAGCTCAGTTTTAAAGATACCATTCAAGATAGTGTAATCAAACTTCATATGTTGATACATACTGATGTAAGCTATTCAACTGCATCAAAATTTTTGATCTTGACCTTTTCTTTGACCTCACTTTTCTTAAATTAGTGTCAAACTTCATATGCTGATACATACTGATGTAAGCTATTCAACTGCATCAATATTTTTTCACCTTGACCTTTCCTTTGACCTTGACCTCACTTTTCTCAATTTGTGTTAAAATGTTGATTTACTAATATACACTTGGCGGGGCATTCATGTCCTATGGACATATTTCTAGTTTATTTATTGTATAAATCATAACTTTTAACTAAGTAAATATACTAGTTGATGCATGCCTTCACGTTTTTGTGCACTTGAAATTAAAAAAAAGATACCGTTCTATTATTCTGTAGACAAAGGATATAAAGGATGATAAAGTGCTTTTCTAAAAAAGAAAATTATTTTATTGCAATTAACCAAAAATATTGAAGTACGTATTTTTCTGAGGAGCAGAATCAATTTCACAAAAGTTAGCAAAATGAATTTATTGTTTAAATGCATGAGACTGGCATCCTCAATTTAACACTGGAAAATAAGGTTTAATTTTGGACTTTTTAGGTCAACAGAGTCACTCAGGTGACCTATTCCTATCAATTTTTCTCCGTTGGCGTTCATTTTCAGATGTGATTGTTCCTTAAAATGTAAAATTTTGTTTTCTCGAACTGCTAAACCAATTTCAACCAATTTAGGCACATGGCATACATAAGTGTAGGTTTTTTTTTTTTTTTTTTTTGAAAATGTACTCTGATCCTGGGTATAAAGCAAACAAACTAAGTGCAAAGTTATGACAAGCAAAGGTTTCTCTTCTAAAATTGTGAAATTTGTGGCATGATCAGTGGTTTTGGTATTGGGGGGGGGGGGGCACTCCATTGATTTCATGTATATAGTAAAAAATAAATTATTTCTTTGAAAATATTTTGCTTCTGCTCCCTGGTATTCAGCAAACAAACTAAGAGCAAGTAAATGATGAGCTAGGGTGCCTCTTCCAAAATTGTGCATTTTAAGGACCCTTGATCATTGATTCTGATCCGGGGTTTGTTGAATGTGTAGTCAAACACTTTATTATTATAATTTTTTTTACTTTAATGTTTTTGATGGTCAGGAAGACTTATTGATAATAGAGAAATAAAAATTGCTTTAAAATGCCTTTTCTTTATACATTAAATGTTCTTCAAAGACCAAGAGAGGTCAGTGTGAGAGGGAATGATATGTGTTTACTAATAGCACTCAAGTACTCTTGTTTTAGATATTTTACATGGTAATAGTGACTAATTTGGGCAAATACAAATAAACAGATCCAGTTTAAGTTTTATAAAGGAGTACTAGACTAATTATTATTTTGATGATCCCTGATCAACCAATTTCTTTTAGTTTTGGGCAACGTAGCGTCATCTATCAATTTGTTTTAAGCTATGGAAACATTACAGTGTTGCGTTATACTCGGGTGACCTTTAAGGCACCGAGCCTCTAGTTAAGTCTATAAGACACAATTGATATGCACGCATCACTGTTACAATGTAAGGGTTACTGAACAGTACTGAACAGCCCCATGTATGTAAAATCTTACTGTAGTATATCTGTCATTAGTTATTTCGAATTTATAAAAACTGGTTAAGGAGTATCTTATGCGTCACTATGCTCACTATGCTTACTTTTTCAGAAGTGATTTTTATGTCAGACCATGATATGAAAAAAAATAACACAGGAATAGGAAGAGTAATAATTTATTAGCACAACATAAAAATGAAATATGAAGTATATATGAAAATAATATTTAGTGGTATACATGTACCTATTCAAATCATATTAGAAAACATAATAAAGCGCATCTTCCTAAGTCAGAATATCACAATGTTATATGTGCTTGTAAGAAAAGAAAACATCAATTAGCAAGAGATATTTCTCTCGTCAATATTTTTCCAATAAAAAAATATGTAATACTAATAAAAATTCTACATATGGTACTTGATACATTAAAGCATATTTAAAATGGTCCATATAAAGACTGAAGGGGTTTTAAAACTGGATTTAAGGGTCCTCCACACACCCCCAGCTTATGTTATCACATTACTGAGCATTACTTTAAACAAGCATATCAATTTATACTGATTTATTAAATATTTAATGTCATAAGTTTGAAGATATTTTTATGCCCCCGGATCGAAAGATCCCGGGGGTATATTGTTTTTGTCCTGTCTGTCTGTTTGTCTGTTTATCTGTTTGTCTGTTTGTCTGTTTGTCCGTTTGTCTGTTTGTCTGTTCGTCCGTTTGTCTCTTTGTCTGTTTGTCTGTCTGTCTGTTGTCAACTTTAACCTTGCCCATAACCTTTGATTGGTTGGAGCTATGACTTTCATATTTCACATGTGTATTCCTTGTGACAAGACCTTTCTTTGGGTACCATCATATTTGACCTTTTGACCTTGACCTTGGAGTTTGACCTACTTTTGCAAAATTTTATGAGACTTTAACCTTCCATAACTTCTGAACAGTTGGTGCTTGGGGTTTCAAACTTCACATGTGTATTCTTTGTGACAAGGCCTTCCTTTGGATATCAACAACTCTGACCTTTTGACCTTGGAGTTTGACCTACTTTTGAAAAACTTTAACCTTGGCCATAACTTTTGAACAGTTGGTGCTTAGGGTTTCAAACTTCACATGTGTATTCCTTGTGACAAGACCTTCCTCTGGATATCAACCACTTTGACCCTTTGACCTTGACCTAGGAGTTTGACCTACTTTTGAAAAACTTTAACCTTGGCCATAACTTTTGAATGGTTGATGCTAGGGCTTTCATACTTCACATATGTAATCCTTGTGACAAAACCTTCCTTTGGATACCAACCACTTTGACCCTTTGACCTTGACCTAGGAGTTTGACCTACTTTTGAAAAACTTTAACCTTGGCCATAACTTTTGAACGGTTGGTGCTAGGGCTTTCATACTTCACATATGTAATCCTTGTGACAAGTTCTTCCTTTGGATACCAACCACTTTGACCTTGACCTTGACGTTTGACTTTTATTTAAAAAACTTTAACCTTCGCCATAACTTCTGAACAGTTGTATCTAGGTCTTTCAAATTTCATAGGTGTATTCCTCGAGACAAGACCTTTCTTTGGGTATCAACATTTCTTATCTTTTGGCCTGGATTTTGACTTGCATTTGAAGAAACTTTAACCTTCGCCATAAGCTGCCATACGGGGGCATCAGTGTTTCACAAACACATCTTGTTTCCTATTGAGATTTGATACGTGGCGCAAAACATTTCGTTTTTTTTTTCCTATGGTATATTATTACAGTAAGCTTACAAAACAACCACAAAATCTTACCTTTATCAGTCAACATATTTTTAAAAGAAAGTAATAAAAGTTACAAATAAATAAATACAACTCATTTTCTCTAAAATTCTCATGGAGAAAAAATTAAGGAAGACTCCTGATAGTATAGAAGAAACACTAATAAATTAATTTCCAACGAGAAATTGAATTAAAATAAAATTTATTGATGTAGAAAAAATATTTTCAAAATCTTTGGTATCAAATGAATGTTCCTTTTTAGAGTTATCTTTCCTGTTGCCCGGGACTCAAAAACTTTAGTAAGTCTCCGTATATGTCATCATACTCAAGTTATTCAGATCAGGACAGAGCTATGTAAATGAGCAAAGCTAGAAATGCACACTATTTATCAATATTTATAAACACACGATGAAATAGCTATTACTGAAACGCACAAATCAGTGTGCAAAAATATCAACTTTCACAACAGACTTTGTTTACGGTATCGCAGTTGATTGTATAAATAACCTAAAACTTTTTTCGTAGATGTACTGGTACCTGTTAATTACGAGTTATTTTGCAACATAAACACAAAGGTCTGCTGTTCCTTTTTTGAAAATCTCGACATCTTTTTCTTTCGGTCACGCCGTGATCATGCCATGTGTTCATTATTAATGATTAGGATGTCGCTCTCAGTTTACTGCATACTTTCCGCTTGACAAAACCTTTATCTTCAAAGTGTTTCAAAGACTCCCTTACAGGCGGTGCCACAGGGACTTGAGACAATCTTAGCAAAATCGGATATATAGTATAATAGGGGAGAAGGGACCTAACGAGCCGCCATTAATTCCTCGGTGCCTCGCTTCAAACTCTAAAAACTTCGATTTTTGTTAAAAACCCATGAAACAGTTTTGCCAGTCGAAAGGCAGAATGTTGTCCTTTATTGTCATAAATTGATCATTTACCTTACTTCATTAAAACTTAGAAAAAAAATATTCGAACTTCCGAGAATTAGGTCACCGTCGTTAACCCTACATCATTTTTTCCATGCACTTTTCGTGCGTTACCTTAATTTTTCCACACTTGTTATCTGTTGCACTCTTTCTTAGAGCAATGTTTAAAAATATAACTGCTTTTGGTCATCCTCACAATATTTGAGGGACCGTTGATCGTCCGTCTTGAAAGATCAGCTCCATTTTCACCCTCGATTAGGCTCAGAGTTCAATCGGGTCAGCCATATTTGATTCCGTAAACAACTAGTAATATTATCCAATCGTGTTTCACCGTTTAAACTTGAGTCATTCAGTGTGTATTTTATTCAATATGGTTGACGTCTATCCAATTAAAATAATTGTTTATATTGATTTAAACGATAAACAACAAATGTTACATAAACTGCGATTGGATAATGCAAGGTGGCATCAAAGGTTATTTCCCGACTATGCCTTAATCGCATTGGTCAATATTTTAATGAGCTGAAATATTCTCGTCTCATGCAACTATGGTCAGAATGGGAGAGGATCATACATTTTAACCGTGGTTTGTGACGATATAAATGTATTATTATACAAATCATCTCTGAATTACTGGATTTATTCAAACACATTTCATGTTACTTGGGAAGCAATATTGCAAAAAATAACTTTTAATAGAAGATTCCTCTTTATTGTAGGATGACTGAACAAGGAGAACTAAAAGACACTTGAGAAATTGAGACAAAATGATCGTCACATGTTTAGTTCTGGAAAAGAACCAGCATTTTACAACGTGTCACGATATGATTCTAAATATAAGTGATAGGATTCTTTTTTTTTTTTCAAAGTTTACTCACAAAGCGAAGATAAACTTTTCACACTGACTTTAATGTTACGTTGTGTTGAGCTGCGAATGCTCCATTACTTGAGAATGTTGGAATAAATGTCAAGAAGTTGAAATGATTTAATTGATTTAATAAACCTCGATAGTGACCGTGAAAGTTTGCATTTTAAAAATGGAACCTTGTATTTGAAATTTCAATTTGGAAAGGACAAGATTAGTAACGGCTGAATTTTACCCATTATTTGATATAAAAAATCAGAACACAGTTGAAATTGTAACTAATATATTGTAAAATGAAGCTTGTTTTTTAAAATAAAAACAGCACTCATTTTGATTCATGGCGTACATAAAGTCTATAGCTAAAAGATGATGCTGAATTTCCTCAGTTCCGATATAATTTCGTCAAATCTGAGATACTTTTCACTTCGTGAAACATAGAGCGAAAGCTTACTATCTGAGATTTTTATACAATGCAAGATGCATTTCATACTAGTGCATAAGATATAAATTTGGTAGATGGGCAAATTTGTGCTCTGTATTTTCTTAACCAAATTAAATGAAAATTGATGAAAAGGTTGAAGGGACTTAACACTCTATTTTGGGTCTTTTTTCAAACCCTCTACCAAGCTGGAAAGGATAGACATATGCTCGATTATATTAGCAAAACATTTGTACAAAAGCATTACTTGGTGTCAAGATTAAATATTGAAGCAACGATAGATGCATTAATGTCGCCTTCCGGAATTTGAAATCTACCCAGAGTGGATTGTAGATCACCAAATCGATATTCAAAGGAGGTGGGACTATAGATTACCTTTCTCTCCCTCTCTCTCTCTCCCTCTCTTTAGTTTGAATATGTTTATGGTAGTTTACAACAATTGCAGCGTTATCTATCTAAAAAAAATTTTGGTAAATATTGTAAGGACACTCAAAATTATAGCAACATTTTTTAAGTTGTTCTATTCTGCAGATCAACCAAATCCGCTGCTATGACGTAAATTAGATCGAGGAAAAGTTCTAGAATATTTTTAATAAGTACACTCGCAGCTGGACAACACATTGTGAAAAGTAATATTCTACGTATCAATGGAGGTCACACAAGGGTTAATCCATTCATAACCATGGAACTGAGAAATTTGTTTTGAACACTTATTTTGTAAAATTAAGTATGAGTGCATGTTTGTTTGCTCGTTTTGGAATGCTATAAACTCGGGCTATATCTGAATATTTAAGATAACAGACCTGTTTACTCTTACGATTTCGCCGTATTTTGTAGGGATTTTGAGTCCAAAATACGTCTCACGTTTTGCTATAATAAAAATACGGAAATCGGGAAATTCTTTCATTTGGATTTAGCAGCTAGTTTTCGTTATGATGTCTCCGTTTGACGCTTTTTAATCGCTAAAAAAGAGTGATGTCGGGTTGCCAAAACGCGGTGGTTTAAAAATGACAGAAACCACTCGAAAGAAAGCAAGGTATTATGTTTTTCTTTGTTATTAAACCATGTTTATTTTTGGTAATCCGAAATGTAGTTGTTTTTTAGTAATATATGTACAATCGATGAAAAGTGAAATCTTACGGGGAAATGCCAAATCTCACTGACAAATCTAATAAAAAATACTGAGAGACAACAATATGGGTAAACAGGTCTGAGATAATATAGGTGGCTTCGAAACATGACACTTTGTCAGTTGATTCACCCAGGGTTCTCGGAGTGTTTTAACCAAAATAAAGGTCATGATGACCTTCTTCTGGAATTTCAAGGCTTAATCTAAGTATACAACTATACAGAATACTTAGAAGCTTCAAGTAGAAGTGATAGGTTGTACAATTAATTAAAAGAGCGATTCAAGGTCCTTGGGCCTCTTGTTTATTTTGATGAATTATGTTGCCATGGTTACTAAAATCAATTTTTTTGTAATTTTTTTAAAAGGCTATTCTTCTTGTAGTTTTATTCTGTTTTCAATAACTCATGCCACAAAAAGAGACTAAGCCAAGACTATGCCAAGGAATTTTGGTAGTTGATAGTGCCCCCTCCCCCCAACTGAAAATGTATGATTGTGCCCCCTTAAAGTGAAATTGCTTCCTACGGGCCTGATTAGGGCACATAGCACTTTTTCCGGGGGAGGGGGGGGGGAGGTGTAAAAAATACAGGCTAAATAAATAATACTAAATAATATATTTTAAAAAATAAAGAATAATTTAGTAAATTAGATAAATAAATAAACAAGGAGTTTATCTACTAGAAACTCAAATTCTTACACCCTGCGTGTAAATTAGTGGGGCATATTATGCTTTTCTAAGCAAAAAAGTTCCGTACTATTTTAGGCTTTCGGTGTGACTTCTGTGACTGAATTATATATGTAAACTTAATATTCCGTTTTTATTCCTATTTATAGATGTCACAGAAGTTTGCAGTTTATTCGATAATCATGATTTGAAATTGCCATTGAGGAAATAAAAAGGTGATTAATATTGTGTACACTTTGAAATGTTCCCCTTATTTAAAGTCCGAAGTCTGAAGTCTGTAATCCATTGTCCGCTATTCCGCAGATGTCCAATTTTAGACACATACTCGGCACTCAGAGACATTGACAAGTGTTGGATCTTTATTGTGCCAGTATCTTCAAAATTGAACGTACACTATGTACTGAAACTTTCACATAAGTATTATCTCTTCTGACATAGTAGTTCTTGGATAGAGGATTTTGAAAGAATGTTTCTTATATACTCTATAAAAGACTTTGATCACCTATTGTAACCCAGCCTTTCCCAAGACATTATCTGAATAAAACTGAATCTACACTTTATAATGAAGCGTTCACATAAGTTTAAACTTATGTGATAAAATTGTTCTTGAGAAAATTTTTAACAGATGTCTCTAAATTTTCACTGAATCTACACTTTATAATGAAGCGTTCACGTAAGTTTAAACTTCTGTGATAAAATTGTTCTTGAGAAAATTATTAACAGATGTCTCTAAAGGATGAGTGCACTTAAGCTATGAGAGTTGGGTCCCGGCGTTTTGCGCAAAATAAAATTCAGAGTTCATAAACTTTATGTTTTATAGGTATTAAACAATGTCTTAAGAGTAGGTTTTGGTATATTATATTACATGAAAGTATCGTGCCGTCATATGTTTCCGATAGTCATATGTTTCCGATAGTCTATTTTCGTCGCGTGAGTTTTCCCTTAAATGACGTCATATTTGTAATTACTAAGGACACCTGACGTAGGGAATCTCGCAACATCAATATATGCAAAAGATCGATAATATGCTGCGTGCAAAGGTAAATATCATAAAAATAATGCAATCAGTGGTAAAAATACTCATTTTTCTTATTACCAAAAATTGTGGTCATCAAAATAGTCTGAAAACCCTTTTAATTCGCACTGTATCTAAAGACGCTCATCATCTGACAAAATACACTTCCGGTGAGGTATTTTGGTATTGAAATTAATCATGTGACTCTATTAGTTTTTCTATGTATGGAAGCCTAAAACCGTCATAAAATTAGATGATTTGCGTAAATAACGTCACTTTTTTGTAATATTTTAGGCTGTATCAAATAAAAGAAAACGTTGTTATTCCCCATCTGCACTTGTCAGGGCATATCAGTCAGTGAAACAAGATGGAGTCCCTGTATATAGGGCAGCTAAGGAACATGCTGTTCCCTTAACTACTCTTAAGCTACTCTTACAGCTAAGGAACATGCTGTTCCCTTAACTACTCTTAGAGACCGTGTTGACAATAGGGTTAACATTGATTGTACAAAAACTGGTCCAGAGCCACTTCTGTCTCAGTTTGAGGAGGCCAAACTTGTAAACCATTTGAAAGAATTAGCTTCTGTTGGATATGGTTATACAAGGACAGAAGTACTCACCATGGCAACAGATTATGCCATTCATCTTGGAAAGAAACGGATGGAAGAAAAATGCTTAAGCAAGCAATGGTTCTACAGTTTTATGGGCAGATGGCCAGAATTAAGAGTTGTTAAACCATCAAGTTTGTCGGAATTAAGGGCCAGATGTGCATCAGAAACTTCAATAAGATCATACTTCAGTGAACTTGAATCAATTCTTGATAAGTATAACTTAAAGGATAAGCCCCATTTGATATATAACATCGATGAAAAGGGAATGAATACCGAGTTTAAGCCCCGTAATATAGTTGCAGGAAAAGGATACCATCCTCAAACTGTTATGTCAGAAAAAAGTAAAACAATTACAGTTATCGGTGCTGGGAATGCACTAGGAAATCAAATCCCGCCATACTTTGTTTTTCCAGGTCAGCGGATGATGCCGGAACTTTTGAGAGGGAAATCCGTTGGTGCTGACGGAACGATGACACCTAGCGGATGGTCAAACTCTGAAGTTTTCCGTTCGTATATGAAAAACCACTTTTTAAAGTATGTTCAAGGTCGAGATCAGTCTGCGACTATACTTGCCCTTTATGACGGTCACAGAAGCCACATTTCTTTAGATCTAATAGATTGGGCTAAAAACAACAATGTTATTCTATTTGTTCTGCCTCCTCACTGCTCACATATTTTGCAACCAATGGATGTAGGTTGCTTTGGACCCTTTCAACTAAAATACAATCAGGAATGTCTATCTTTTTCACGTTTGAATCACAAAACAGTCACCCGTTATGATGTATGTGCTCTTGCTTGCAAAGCCTACACTGCTGCCTTGTCGCCAACCAATATTCAGGCAGCATTTTCAAAATCTGGTATCTATCCTTTTCAATCAGCCGATAGCATGATAGAAAAACTATAGCAAAAAATTACTCCATCAATCCTCTACCAAAATGAAACAGGAGATAATCTTGAAATTAAAACTGAAGAAAAAAATACCACTGAACCAAATGAACTTGCAACATCAAAAATGACATCTGCAAATTCAGACACAGCCTGCAGAGAGAAACAAACAAATTGCACTGGAGATAGTAACCTATCAAATAATGAAGATTTCTTTTCAAAGAAAGGGGGAGAAGTTCAATGTAAAATTGAAAACTTAAAAAAGAAGAGAAGAAATATCAGTCATGTATTGGAGGGAAAGCTGTAACTGAGGATGAAACACTTGGGAAAATGAGAGAATATTTAAACAATACTGCTAAAAAACCAAAAAAATCATGCAACAAATTAACTTCTAAAAGTACAAAAACTGTGAGAAAACCAATCAAAAATAAACAAAGAAGAACAAGAAGTGTATCGCATCATCGGACTCTCAACAGCCTGGACCATCTTGTATCAACCTTACTGATTCAGATGATTATATTCTAAACTCAGATGAGGAAGAACATGAATCGCAGATGAGTGAAAATGAGAAGTGTTGCGTTTGTAAAAATTTCTATGTGAAGTCAAGAAATGTGTATGAAATTGCTATTGTCAAATGGGCTCAGTGTGAGTCATGTGGACACTGGGTTCATCTCCAGTACTGTTCACCTGTTCGTGTTGTCAGGAAAAATACACCATTTAATTGTCCATGCTGTGAATAGATAATATCTACAAAATATAATTGCAATTGAAACAATTGTGCACTTAAAGAAAATGGTTAACTCACTGAAACATCCATTTTCCAAGCATTATTATTATGCTAGCATTGTATTTCAATACACTAAATATTAGTAAATATTTAGTAGAATTTCATTCATAGTTGTATAATTGCGAATTTAAGATATGTGTATATGATTAAATATATTAAACATATTTTTACGATAAAATAACTTTTTATTTTGATTATTGCACCAGTTGTTCACCTTACTTTAGTAAAGAAATATATTGACGAATCAAACTATCGGAAACATATGACGCTCGTTTTGATTGGTCAAATACGGTATCCATTTTATTTATGCCTAGAAAATGCATATGATGACGACTTTATGCCAATTTATTGTCGGCGATTTTTAATGCAATGCTTAAGGTTAAAAAATAATACGATTTAAAAATCATTGAGAAAACTGGGAATCAAATCGGACCTTGGTTGTTGTTAGACTATCGGAAACCCATGACGCCAGGATATTAGATAATGCCGATCGACACTAGCTTTTGAGACGGGGGTCCAACAGTTTTGTCACATTTCTGTTGTTATTCATATGCATACCAGTTTTCAACGACATTGTTTACATCGAGCCGCAACTTGTCCATTGTTCTCATTTGCACAGAATCTGTATTTTAATTTAAACTTCAACATACCCAAAGGACAATGTTGGACAAATTGCGGCTCATATCTAATTTTTTGAAAAAGTCTCCAAACTACGGTCGAATTAGCCACTAAATTAACAGTTCACCGAGTGTCAACGATTGATATTATAATCACTTTACTCTCGTGACATTCCACTGTTCGATACGCTAAGGCTTTCATTGAACATTTCATTGTGTTTGTCATTGAAAGTTTCTATTGTGACAGTATCTATCATACTTCCAACTTCAAACTATGGAAGATTTTTGCGCAAATTTTAATAGGGTTTGAAGATTATATGTCTCTTATTTTTACTTTGTATTTTTCATTAGGGGTGTTTTGAAAGAATTCTGGTATTGACAGTGTGATTAGTAAGTACATGTACAGGCTCATGTCGCCTCTGTATAATGGTCTGCAGGGCGAGACATCTTCCCCATCCCTAAACACTAGAATCATTTATTATTTGTGCACCATGAAACTACACAATCTCTCTCTTCTCCATTTAAATTCGCAGTGCGAAAAAAATCGTATGTGCTAATGTTTACATTCCACATCCATGCGATTTAAATGTCTCCGCCTATTTGCGGATACCTTAAATTCGAAAGTGGTCCCGTTCAAATTTCCGGAATTTAAGGCTTGTACGTGTTCTTTTCAATGACATTGTCTGTAATTATAGAAATATGTTTGACAAAAAAATCAAGGAATAAATATCAAAAGAATATCCTTGCACAATAATCATAGATTAATTAAGCGATATATTGTAAGTAAAGCTTAAAATGGGTAGCCGAAAAGGTTCCAAATGACGTACTAAAGTGCACTCATTCTTTTCACTAATTCTTAACTACTTTCCTTGAAAGAGGACATGACCATTAATTAATCTGAACAATCTTGACTCCTTTTATCCACGTTTGCTTTCTGGCAAGTTTGGTTGATATTGACCAGTACTTCTTTAGAAGAAGCCGAAAATGTAAAAAAGTTTACAGACAGACAGACGGACGATAGAAAAGCTCACTAGAACTTTAAAATGTCAACCCCAACACCATTATATCGGCACTTGTATGAGAATAAAGCAAAAATTATTTTTCAGATAACCATTACAACTGAACAAAAAACTCAACTTTCAATCTCCATTTATATATAACGAGAAAAAAAAGAATGGGAAGATTTTTCAGATGTCTCAAGAATTACGGAATAAATACAACTAAGTCTTAATTTTTTACTTATTTATCAGTCATACACTCTGTCAATTCCCCCTTTCTCTCTCTCTCTCTCTCTTCACGACCTTTGTAAATATTCTTCAACGCAATATATCGGCGACAAAATGTGCAAATGTTCACAGTACATATTGACGCCGACGACAAAATGTGCCGATGCTTGACTGTACGCAGGAGAAAAAGGCTCGTATCGGTACAAATTGTCACCGGCGACAATATGTACCGTTGGACGACGATATTTGCAGTGAGGGTAGGTGCAATTATTTAAATAATATTTTGGAGGTCCATATTTTAGCTCACCTTAGTTGAAAGCTCAAGTGAGCTTAAGATTCTGATCACCCACTTCCTGGCGTTCTTCTTTCTCTACGTCCTTCTGTAAACCTTTCGCATTTTTAACTTCTTCTCAACAGACAAATTTAAAAAAAAATTGTTGCAAAGCATTCCTGTGTACAGGGGATCCTAAATTGTAGAAAGAACCAAGACCCCTTACAAGGGGAGATAATCAAGAAAAGGCAAAAAGGTGAGAGTCATTTTAAAAAATCTTCTTCTCAAGAACCATTGGACCAGGAAAGCTGAAATTTATGTGGAAGATAATTTAGGTTGTGTAAATTTTAGATTGTTTAAATCATGCCCCTCGGGATGGATCAGGGTCACAATATGAAATCAAATTTTTCCATTGGAAATATAGGAAAAAGCTTTTTCCAAGAACCATTGGACCAAAAAAGATGAAATTCAGGTGAAAGCATCCTAAAGTAATGTTGATTCTAAATTGTTCAGATCATGGTCCCAGGGGAAGGGTGGGGCCATCAGAGGGAATCAAAGTTTTATTTTGAAATATATAGGAAAAAATAATTTAAAATCCTCTGAAGAACTGCTAGACCAAGAAAGGTGAAATTTAGATGAAAGCTTGCTTTCCTGATAGAATGGGGCAACAAATGAGGATAAAAGATAAACATTGAAAAATATCGGTAAAATATTTTTAAAAATTCCTCTTAAAGACCACTTATGAAGCTTCCTAAGATGGTGTAGATTGTAAGTTGTTCAAATCATGGTTCCCGGGGCGGGGGAGGGGGGGGGGGTAGGTAGGGCCACCACAGGGAATCAAAGTTTTCCATTAAGATATATTAGGAAAATCTTTTCAAAATCTTCTTTTTAAGAACAACTGGACCAGAAAAGAGGAATTTTGGGAGGCAACGGAGGTAATATATGTTGTAAATTGTTCAGATCATGGACCCTTAGGGGCAGGGTGACGCCACAATAGGGACTAAAGAGGAAATCATCCTTAAATTGCCCCTTCTTAAGAACATGAAAGCCATGATGAATCATATCAAAGCATCCTTTGGTAGAGTAGATTCAATTTTTTGTTCAAATTACTGTCCCTGTGTTTAGGGTGGTGTCACAAAATGCGATTAATATTTTACATACGAATACATCTAAATTGGGAAAAATCTTATGCAAAACAGCAGGGCCAAAGTGTCTCTTTGAGCGTCGTGGCCCATGAGCCTCTTGATTAAAAGTCTTCTCGTTAAATTAAACCTGCTTCTAAAGAAGTTTTATTAAATAGGTTTAAACCTTTAGTGCACTGGATATCTGTGTATTTTATTTCAGAGCTAAGTAATACCAGGAGGCAATTTGGATAACATTTCGAATTGAATATATCAGTACATGTATGTACAATTTGCGCAACCTAGCCTCCTTAACTTTCCTCATTATTATTATCATCATCTTCATCATTATAATCATCATCATCATTATTTCAATATGTGCAGTAACGTGTTGCCGGCGACAATATTAACATCCTACGATAATATATACCGACAGACGACAATATGTGCAGTTATGGGAGGTGCGCAATATCGCCAGCGACAATACCTGTATGAGTAGGACGACAATATGTACCGTCACAATCGTGCTGCACAAAATAGCAAAAGAGACACGTATGTGTGATTTACATACTTTCGGGTGACAAGTTATTATAAATCACAATACTTAAAAACACATTTAAGGTATTTTTAACATTTCTACAGAGAATGGAACAAAGGACTTAAACACTTTCTATATAGTAATATTTATTATATTTCTGTCTTTTTAAAAAAAAAAAAAAAAAAAAAAAATATTTACAATGATTTGTTCGTCTGCGTCACCATAAATCTACCTTTGTCCTTGGATATTCTCTTCAGGTGGTAAACCGTTCAATTTCGATATTAATTTATTACATTTTCTGTCCATTTAGATCCATTTTTAATTTAAGATACTGAACTTTATAGCAGTACCTATCTAAAGCAACATGTAAATGTCTTTTCTTTAATTAAGTAGTGCAAATGACCTTGAAAAAATATTCACTTTATTTTCTATCTTATAAAGATGACAATATTTTTTCTG